TGGTCAAGGGGACACACAACAGGTGAATAGGGTAAAAATTGTAATTTATAGACCATAAAACCTTCCCTATTGACTACTTGCAATGAGATTTCTGAAATGATTGGTTTAAATATGGACATGAGGAATTATGTAACGCTAACCTTTGGTGAAATCTACACACTCACATGGACAAAGTGTAGTAAAGTAAAGCTGAATGTGTATTTTGGGCATTTCTTTGTACTAGTCTTAAAGAAGAAATGTTGACTCAGTATTGTTTTATTTGTATAGCGCCAATTCATAACAGAAAATTATCTCAGGCCACTTTTCAAATGGAGTAGGTCTAGACCGTACTCCTTTTTATAAAATTATTTACAGAGACCCAACAGTTCCCCCCATGAGNNACTTGGTGACGGCAGCAAGAAAAAAAAAAAATAGCCCAAAATCTCAAAATTGACCAGTGCTTGAAAAAGTCTTTTGATAAGTTATTTCTGGAGTAAATAGAAGAGAATAGTGTGTCCCCACCAGTGTTGGGCAGTAACTCATTACTAGTAATAATATTACAGTAATAATTATTACTTTCCCCACTCGTAGGTAACTACTAATTAGTAATACGTTTTAGTAATAATATCACAGTTACCCCCAAAAAATAATTAGTTACAATATTACTTTACACCCACTACTGATTTGAAATCTAACAATCCAATCACATCCTTGCATTAATTTTTTGTAATCGTGGAGGAACCTAGTTTGGAAGATGGAAATCAATGGAAATATTCCATTACTTTGATTTCAACAAACAAAACTGGATTTTAATCATCGTAAGTCGGAATTTCGGGGAGAAAGAACACAATTTCCAATTTTGTGGGGAGTACCAGAAAAGTAATATAACTAGTAGTGTAACTAATTACTGTTGGCAGGGAGTAACAAGTAAAGTAATATTACTTTGTAAAAGAGTAATGAGTAACTAGCGTAACACTGGTCCACACCAGTGTAACAATAATGTGTGTGTGTTTCCAGGTAAAGGAAAGACTCCTCTCCGCCGGAGCAACAATGTGGCTGTATCAGTGGCAGCCTCAGTAGACCAGACAAAGGCTCAGGTGTTAGAGAGCAGCTGTGAGAAGAGCTGTCAGGTGACCAGTGAACAGATCAAGGCAGACATGAAGGCTGCTGCTGAGAACAGTAAGAGAACTAGCAACAAAGGAGTTACTACTGAGGCTGGAGAGACCAGTACAAGGCCTGGGGCTGAGGGTGGGCCAGTACGGGGCACTGGGAGTGCTGGGGCAGCAGCAAGGACTGGAGTCAGGCCAGTGACTGGATCAGTGAGCAGGGTTGGACCTGGAGTAGCCACATCCAGGCAGGTGGATGGATGTGGGAGGGTGGTAGCGGGAACCACCTACAGAGCAACCACAACCAATGACAGAGCTGCAAGAACTGGCAGGACTATTGATGGCACAGAGGGCCCCTCTAGAGTGCAGACTGGGGACAGTTGTCCAAGGGAGTCTGGGGTGAGGCCGAGCTCTGGCATTGCAGATGCGGACAGTTTGGGGCCCAGAGATGCTTCCAGGAGACCAGCACTGCTGGCTGGACAAGGAGAGAGACAACCTGTCCCTGCTGGATCTACCTCTGCTGCTGGTTCAGTTTCACAGCAGGGTCAGGCCAGAGACGAGGACTTTGTTCCTAGACGACCTTTGACCCGTTCCTGTACCCGTATGTCCTCTGTGTCCCTGATACCTGAGACAGGTAAGAATGAAGTTACAAACACAGAGCAGTTTTGTGTCCGTTAACTATCACTTTAGAGTAGTGCATATGAAGTTGTTTGTGTTTAGTCGGTTTCATATACACTCCCCTCCCAAAGTATTGGAACTGTTTGGCTTACGTGCGTTTTTATATTATTTAAGGTGATATTTGTCTTGTTTATGTTTTGTAGATCTTTCTAGAGCCAGGCCACGAGTGGCAGTGAGGAGAAAACGAATGGCTGACAAATCAACCAGCACTTCAGACCCGGTCACTGAGGACGATCACATACAGGTACACACACACAATCCAAATTGTTTTCAGAGTGACATTATAGTCTTATAGCCACTGTTTATCATTGTTAAAGTGTAATCAATTGACTGTCATTCAAAGTCCAGAGGCGGTGAATACTTTTTATATCTTAAATAATACATAGTATATAATAAATTAAAGCAGCATTGTGCGGGACCTCGC